AGACAACTACTAAATTGCCCAAAACCCACCAAGAAATCAACAAAGAAAACAGGATAAATTACATAAATAAAACCAACACTACAGATTTCCAAAGAAAAGGAAGAACTATGACTTGCTAACCTATATATGCATGTTGCATGTAAACACGTTAATTAACACTCATTAATCTAACTTACAAAAGCTAGTTAGTGTTTGCTCTTGTACATATTACAAAAACCAATGATTGAGCTGGTGAAGCAACGCAAGGAGCATGTTTTTCTGCTAGTTATTGACGATGTAATAAGTCCTCTTGAGTTACTGGCCAGTAAAAAACTTGTCAAACATTAATTCTCAATGATTTGTCATCAAATTACAATCGGAAAGGAACTAATAGTCCTGCCTATATTAATCATAAAAAATTCTCAATTCCTAAAATCTCTTTTCTTCCGTTTTCTCAGCAATTGCAAGTTCCAGGAGACCCTACTTCTTCTTGGCCCTTTTGCAAGTTCTTGAATGCCCTTCAACTCTTTTTTATGTTATAAGTTGTAGTTTCTATATGGTTCAACATTATTCTCCCAAATCTGCAACAAAATGAATATTATTATTAACACGATTCAGTTAAAAGGAAGGCAATTGCCATAATACACATTGCTACACATACTTTCAGTTTCTTTTTTATTGCAGAGTCCTGAGCACGACAAAAATCCACGTGATAAGCTTGCACCTGGTTCCACTTTTAAAAGGCCGGCATTAAAGAGGGGGATTGCCACATGGGTATTTGACTCCAACAAAGTTCCCATAAAATAGCCATCTGAATCAATAGTCTCCAGCAGAACCTGTACAACAAATTCAATCTTACTGAATCACGAAAAAAAAAAAACCAAGGGGAAACCAAAGCTACCAGATAAGTGCTAAATAATTACCTCCACCCTTTTGTGAACTAAGGTTTGCCTCAGCAGTTCAAATGCTTCGTCTGCATAGGGCTCCTCACCTCTGGGCCATGCGACACCATAAAGTGAGAAGGCAATCTTCTATGTTTTCTTATTGCTTTGAATCAATAGTATAATTTTATCCATGGTGTCACTGTTAGTAGGGATAACAGATTCCACAAAACCCTCAACTTTCTCGTATTCATCAAAGGCCCACACAAATATGATATCACAGGCTTTCCCAACTTCCTCCCATGTTGCCTGAAACAAACGCATGCCATCAATGAATGAATGAATGCAAAAACTATCTCTTAGAGAAGGAAAAAAAACACATCTATCCCTTATAATAATAATAATTATAAATTATTGTGTAATTCTTACATTTGACAAGTCTATTATCTCCATGACTAAGGGAATCCACTCCAGAATGCTGTAGAATTGATAATCCACTCCAACACTCTCTCTCTCTCGCTCTTAAAAACTCGTACTTTGCTCTCCTCTCCCTAAACTCTTTGTATAAGTGATGTACTTTGAATTGATTAAATGAATAATGGCTGTGTTGTACAAAGGGTTAATTAATCAGAAACCCTAATTCCAGTATAGTGGAATCAAATTTGGGACCCCAAAGTCTCTTAATCCTGTCACGTGTAGAAAAGTGTGGAATATCCCTAAAACTTGCATAATAAGAAAATATTAAAAAAAAATAATAACCATACTAAGAAAATAATATCTTAAAGACTATTTCTGTTATAGTTGAAGATTAAATAAGAAATTAAATTTAAATCTTCCGAAAAAGAAACTTGAAATGATCTCAAGCAACAAGAAAATCTCATAAATATTACGTATCCTTCCTTTTTAGCGTTTTGATGTTTTGGCCAATGACAAGTTATTTTTAATTTTAATTTTATACTGGGTGTGATGTTGTGGTACTCTTTTTCCTTAACCAGATTTTCCTCCATTTGGGGGTTTTTTAAGGCAAAGTTTTAACGAGACCACTATTGTTGTATCACTAAAGTCCAGTTTTTACTTTTTGTACCCTAACATTGTTGGTTCAATAAAGTTATCTTTACTTGATAAAAAAAAAAA